AAACTGTGGTCAATGACATGAGACAAAGTATATGTGAACTGCTGTATGGAAAGTGAATTTGCTCTGTAAATCTTCACCCAAATCACAATTTTAAAAAAAAGAAAGAAAGAAATGTGATATTTCATTTGTGATAGAGTTACACAATAGAAGGTGCTCTGAGAGCACTTGGTGCAGGAGGATCAGAAAGATGAGTAAGCATTTCCTAGGCAGAGAGAAGAAAGAATGTCTTGGGGAGGGAGGATAGCATATGTGAAGAATATGTGGGATAGCAGGGGAACTGGAACATGTAATAATAGAGCATCTGGAGCTGTGTGTGTGTTTGTGTGCATCAAATATATTGTTTTCTTCACTTATGAAATATATACGAGGGGCTAATGCATTTTCCTCAGAAGGAAGGTTGGGCAATCTACTTCTGTAGTGACACTGCCTCAGAAACCCAAGGAGGGGTCACTATGAGTCGGGTCCAACTTGACAGCACATAACAACAATAATAACAATGCATTTTCAGTTGTGTGAATGATAGTCGCATCATGTTAGGTGCAAGTATGATTTTTTAATTGTTTTTTTTAGAGATTTATGCATAGTTCAAGATGTGTACAGATGCCAAGTTGACAAGGAGTGAATTGTGATGGTTAAGGTTGTGTGTTATCTTGGCTAGGTCATGATTCTCATTGGTTTGGCAGTTATGATATAGTCATTCCCCATAATGAGATCTGATACAGTGTGATCACCTCCTCCATGATGTCTACTGTGAGCAGCCAATCAGTTGAAAGGGAATTTCCTCAGGGGAGTGGCCTGCTTCCAATATATATGGACAGTCTGGCAAAGCTTTGTGGCTTTTTGCTTGATCTAGATCCTACACTGGGCTCATCATCATCTGACCTCCAGTTCTTTGGACTTGAACCAACAGCCTGCCATATCATCTGCTGGTCTTAGGATAGCCTTTGCAGTCTGTGAGTTAGCAGCCTGTCATTTTATTTTCTGATCTTGGGTTTTTCAGCTTCCTCAGCCAACAGCCTGCTGTATTGCCTGCCAATCTGAGTTCATTAGTCCCTGCA